AAGTAATGAATTTAACAACATATAATAAATTTCATTGTAAATTAATATATCTTTATATAATATCGTTCAATAAATATTATGGTAAATTCATGCATTTTAACAGAACATTATACAATAAATTTCATTGTAAATGAATACATTTTAATGCATCATAAACTTACATATTTCATTTAAAAATAATGCATCTTTATATAATATCATTCAATGAATATCATTGCAAGTAATGAATTTAACAACATATAATAAATTTCATTGTAAATTAATGAATTTTAACACAATATCATACAATAAGTTTCATTGTGAATCAAAACATTTTAATCCATTATGGAATTGATAAAATTTCATTGTAATATAATGCATTTATTGAATTGTACAGAAATGAATTTTAATAACACCCACCCCTAGATTTCGTTCTAAAAAAAATACATCATTATATAATATCGATCTGTAAATATCATCGAAAATTAATGTATTTTAATTCTTTGCGTCCCAAATTATTTCTACTGGACACTGACACGTCCAGATAAAAACCAGCATGCTCGCATACGGATTCACGTGCGCACACATACACATCATATCTACAAACTCGACGCCCACCACATCCACACTGTTGAACATTTTTTATTGCTACATTCCAGTAAAGTATATAATAATTATTAAACATGTATAGATTTCTTTTTCCTACTATAGAATTGAAATGTTTAACATAACATTATGTAACAAATTTCATTATAAATGTATACATTTTCATACATTATAAATTCAACCGCAGCATTGTAAATATATTTCATTTATAATATTGTAAATTATTATAAATTGATAACTGTATGTTATTCATGAATAATCATAATGTAAAATAATACTAATTATTGTAAGAAATATAAAAAATTGTAAACCGTAAAAAATAAATCATATGAATGTCATGTTTTATCTTTATTGAGCATGCTCATGATTTGTTCGATCGAATCGTATGAGAATACTGGTGAAAATGTGTTTCATATATATATATATGTTTCTAAACATGCATTGTCAATCAAAGACATTCTAATGATGTTGATATCAATTTGACGAACGATAATTGATGATGATGTGCACATTCGAATATAATTGATTTGATTAATCATCACATGATTAATTGAAATGATGAGACACGAATTAATTTCATCATTTTTCATGTGTATGGATGTGAATACTTGTCCTTTGTTCATATACAGTCCTTCATGGACAATACATATTCTTTTCTTTCTTTTTTTTTTTGGATCAAAAGAAATTTCTATTCATCATCATCATCATCATCATCGAAAAAATAAAAGCAATTAATTTGAATCATAAATCATAGAATTATTTTTTAGTACGACTTTTGAAAATTGATTAGAGTGCATTATTCAAATGAACATATTCATTTCCTTGGAAACACAAGATCAACAAGTCTGTTGAGTACGACTGCACTGTCATTATATGAAAACTCGTTAAGACAAAGGCAAATAACTGTACAGAAAATTAAAAAGTTTTCATAAAATTCAATTTCTATCCCATCGAATGAATATTTCTGTTGAAATTAAATCACTAATAGGGTGTGGGTGTGAATGAAGAACATAGACACACCCACCAACTTGTGTTGCTTTGTTTTTTTTTGACGAATTTCCTTATATTTTTTGTTACTAATACAAACAATTGAATGTCAATTATTATTAGTATAAAATGAGTTTTACTTATTTAGAATTCGACAACAAGATTTCTATGATCAATATTCATCATCGTACAATGATTCATATTATTGGCATGAAAATAATTCAAATTCATATGATATTTATGGTTCAACACTGGTGGAAATTCCTCAATTTCAACATTCATCTCATACACTTTTACAACAAAATGGTTTTACTCACCAAGTTTATCTTAAATATGAACAAGAATGTCTTGATGGTAAAAAAAAATGTTGATTGTAGAGAAAAAAAAGATTATTAGGTCAGTACATATTTACAATATTTCAAGAGAAACAAGCTACTGGTAAAAAAAATTGAAATTATGTTACATAGAACGTATAAAAAGCGAGTCTTTTAATGACTAAAGAACAGTCAACATATCTAGAAACAACAATGAAAATTACTCTCCGGTAAAAATCAGAGTCTAAAAATACTTATATTCTTATTTAAATAGCTAATAGAGAATATGTTTGTTGCTATAATTTTCAAAAAAAAAACAAAGATTTTACTCTTTTATGGAGTTTTTTTAATAAATACTATCATTCTTATCTACATGATAAATTTGATAAGCAATAAAATAATCGTCAATAATTAAAAACACTAAGTTTCACTAATCGGCAAACTTTATTATTTTATAGAAAATATTTATAATCTAAAGTTATGTTGATTTACAAATAAAATACATTTTGTTTTCTGTAATGATCTAATTTCTATAACGTGTTAAACTTGGTCCTGGTCAATCAATGGAAATGAATACAATCTATCGTTTTTAGTCATTTTTCTTATGTGAAAATTTTAATCGTCATATGTACAATGAATTTAAACAATATGCTATTGAAGATACTAAAACTGATCAACGGTATATGAATGAATTGTTTTTATGAAAAATAATAAGAAAAAAATTGAATATTACTATTTATGTATAGATATGGTGTTGAATGTCTATTTCGATTTTATACATATGATCTAGAAAAACATTTTCGTCAACATGTATTTGAAGATTTTCAACAAGAAACTCTTTGTGATGATGAAGCTGGTAATAAAATAGATTACACCAAAAAAAAAAGAAAAGTGTCAATAACAAAAATAGTTTTTCTATTTAGGTCAATTATATGGTTTAGAAAAATTCTGGGCATTTTTAAAATATTCTTAACAAAAACCAAAAATCAATGCAAAACTTGAAGAAATTTTAAAAAATTATAAAAATCTTGAAGATTTTCGTGTTGATGGTGCATCATTTCCACAACAATTTTTTCCAACAAAATCAAATTATAGTAACTGAAAAAATTTTTTTTTTCTATGATATAAATAATTTCTTTATAGACTGTTCCAGCATTCGAAGCAATTGCTGCTGCAGTAGCAAAGAACAGTGATACATCAAATTCATTAAAACCCAATGGTGAACAATATCTGAACGGTGCTCATATTTTTTCAAGTGGATTTCGATTTATGTAAAAGTATGCATGTATTTTTTTTTGCTTTCAAAGTTTATTGTTATTTAATCGTTTTCTATGTATTTTATTACATTGGTTTGTTATTGTAGTAGATAGATAGATTAAATAGTGATGCATTTTCTTTTTCTATCGATAGAGATATGAAGAATTTTCATATGGTTTCATTTTGTTTTTTGAAACTATTTGCTAATAAAAACAAAACAACTAAACAAATTTAATTTGATTATAATTATGCATGTTTTTCTTTTAGAAGAAAAAAAAGACAATGGCTTCATCTCGTTTATTTAATAATATTTTATTTCGATAGAAGAATTGGTATTGGTTTAGCTATTGTTGGTGGTGTGATTAATTCTATGCTTTATAATGGTAAGTAATGAAAAGATTAAAAAAAAAACTTGCTTTCTTTAAATATAAATATATTCTAGTTGATGGTGGTCATCGAGCTGCTATTTTTGATCGTTTTCAAGGTGTTAAACTAGATGTTACTGAAGAAGGAACTCATTTTGTGATTTCATGGCTTCATAGACCAATTATATTTGATATTCGTACACGATCACGATCTGTTCCATCAATAATAGAAATAAAAGGTATAAAAGCTGGAAGAAAACAGTCACCTTCAGGAGAGAGGTGAACATGAGGAAAATGTAAGCTTGCGAAAAAAAGAAGGTAAATACGATGTCTATTGAAACATCAACGAATGTATATGGCTGAGGTATCTTAAAAAATTTTGCGGCCATCGATGGTGACTCAACTGATCGTTTTACACCTATACACTCTCATCATTCACCAATCTTAGGATACTTCATAAAACTTAAAAGCGGAAGTCTCCGTTATTTTTTCTTCGTATAAATGAAATATGCATAAATTATATTTTATTATTTTTATTTTAGATTTACAAACAATTAATATAACATTACGTATTCTTTATCGACCAAGAGCTGAACTTTTACCAAAAATTTTTTGCAAATTTAGGTTTAGATTATGAAGAACGTTTTATCATCGATCATTAATGAAGTTTTAAAATCTGTTGTACTAAGTCTCAAACATTTTTGTTTTTGTTACTATGAATAATTAAACTGATTTTTAGTCTCAATTTGATGCTATTGAATTGATTACACAACATACACTTATTTCTCAGCGTGTTAGTGAATTATTAACAGAACGTGCTGCTCAATTTGGTTTATTACTTGATGATATTTCAATTGTAAGATACAACAAAAAAGAGTCTCGAGTTGATTATATTGTTTTTTTCTTTAAATTAGACACATTTAAGTTTTAGACCTGAGTTTACAAGTGCTGTTGAATTAAAACAACGATTTTTAGTCGAAAAAGTAAATCAATAAGAATAAAATTTGTATGAGTTTGTTTTTTTTGATAAAAAAAAACAGACGGAACAAAGTCGTCAAGCAAATGTTATTGCAGTAGAAGGTGATACTCGTGCAGTTGATTTGATTAGCAAAGCTTTAGATGAAGCTGTTGATGGTAAATTTTTGAATATCTTTTATTATCATGTCTTACTTTGTTTTAATATTCATGTTAGGTTTGATCGAACTTCGACGAATTGAAACCGCTGAAGGTATTGCAAATCAATTATCAAAATCAAGAAATATCGTCTGTTTACCACATGGTCCTCAAATGTTACTTAACATTACTGGTGCTATGCAATAAAAATATTGTTTTTTGTTTTCATAGTAAACTAGCGAGATTGATTTAGGAAAATAAAAAGAACATATACGGTTTTTTTTTGTATGTGTGTGTGTGTGTGTGTGTGTTTATAAACTATTGAGAATACTAAAGCATTGTATTGTCCTGTTTTTTGTTCGATTAAAGAAAAAGAAGATCAGATCAACAATTCTCTAGATGATATTAAAGATTCGAGTACGATTGAAATGATGAATTTCGATAATCTCTTTCGATGTTTTATATTAATTCAATCATTTGTACGTGGTTGGAGAAATCCATTTCATTTACAAGAAACTTTTACCTATCGACGTGGAAAAATTGGTGTCAGAGATGAGTGTTTACAACTTATACCAGCTGAAAATGTACAGGAAAATACTGTTGAAATAATTAAACAAGAAACAAAAAGATAATCAAAATTATATAAATGCTCGATTTCGTTCACCACTTGTCAATTATTTACCACATTTGGTAAGTAATTTAAATTATTTTAATCATTTAATTAATATTATCTTTTTTCTTTTGTTATATTTATTTAAATAGGTTCCATCTCAAGTAGCTACAGCTCATTTTCAACTTGTTCTATCACATGATCATCGTTTTGGTATTGATTCAATTCCAATAGGAATTTGTTATGCTGGAACAGGTGATCATGGTTTTAGTCGACGAAGGTTATTTACTGCAGTCCCATTAATTAATCAATATCCTATAGGTTCAATTCTTCTTGAAAATTCATATTATGGTTTAAGAAAACCACCAGATCAATCTCGTTCATCATTATTGTATGTTACCAATTTATATATCATGGGTGAAGTACTTGTTTTAGAAATACTTATGCTACTTCATTGGTGTCAAAAAATGAAATTAACACCAGCTATTCTACATGATTTTTCTCTTGGTGGATATATGGCTTCATTAGCATTTACAAAGTAAGATTCAATTCTATTATTTAATCTATTTAATGAATGGATATACAGTATCTATCATAATTTCAAATAATGATTCAAGTAGAGCAAATCATATTACAAAAAGAATATAAATTAAAAACATTGATTATTTGATTCCCTAAGTTAGGAATTTTTTAGACAACCCAAAAGCCTAATTTCTCAGTATCTAGTACTTGAACTCTCTAGGACGGATTTTTATTGAGTAAAAGTTGAATCATTTTGGTAGCCATTGTGTATATATTTATATTTTAGATGGCCTGATCCACCTTCTCGACGATTCTATGAAAATAAAGCCTCTCAAACATTTTATGATTATTTACGTGAACGAAATCAATCAATAGATTCAAATAAAATTGTTCTCGATCTTATTAAAGATATGATGCGTCTTCTTATGGATGAATTTACATCTTTACATAATCATTCACGCCTAATTCAATCAAATATACCTAATGTTATGTTTATTGCTTGTACACATGATGGTATTTCACATATGAATGATGTATGGCCTGGTATTCATATCCGATATATTCCTCATGGACATGTTAGTGCATTTTTATTTAATCAATCAGATCTTCATCATGCTGCTGCTAAAATGTTACAACGACAAGAACCAAATGTAAAACTAAAAAAACATCTAATCATGTCACCAATTTCTGTCACTACACCTAAAAATTCGTGAAGATATATATTTTTTTCATATAGATATTTTCTCGAACAGTATCAAATATTTCCTAGTTTTTGTGTTATGATTTGAATAATAACTTAGAGAAAAGAAAACTTTTGATCGAATATAAACTAGATAATATATTAATCGTTTTGTTTTTTAAATATAATTTGTATGACTCTGGTAAAAACATGAGCAAACTTTTTTTTTTGGTCCTGTTTATCAGCAAATAGATATTGAGAGAACTTCTCCAACTGATATCCTCTGTTCGAGCTCATAAATAAGACTCATAGTCATAATGAAAATATTAAACATGTTCGTGATCTTAAGCCTTTCATGATTGGTCTATTAAATTTTCAGCATATTGCAGGATATTAGCAAAAAAAACTGCAATAACGAGTCTCCATTTGAAACTTTCTCCAATAACAGATCTCATAATAATTATTACATTCTAAAAGTTTTAGCTCAAACGAATGGGTCCAAGTCAATCAATCGGACAGTGAGATCAATGACAGATTCTTGCACGTTCATACAAGATCGTACAATTTGATTTCACTATATTGTTTGAATCCTTTACAATAATCCATACAGGTTAGAGTTCTCTTCTTTATAAATTACCATACCATCCATACGCATACATAGCCAACATTTAAATTTCTGGTAGCATAACTGGATATAGATTTATGTATATACCTTTATTCAGAATTGGAACTGGTCTTTATCAGTTCTCTTTCTTTTCGCAGATGTGAACGAGAAGGAAAAGAACAGTGGGTGCATTTATATGATCATATCCTTAATATCAAATAAAGCTTAGTTATTACTTGAAAAAGAAAAAGAAAATGTATAATGTAAAATAGTTTGTGTTAACAACAGAAGAATTACTTGAATTTTGTATTATAAAAATAACTTTATAAAAAAAAAAAGAACTACTCTTTTGCTTTATTCATATCTGAGCATTTTAGATATTCACTTCAAAATATTGTGTAGTGAATATGAAGACACAATAAATAAATTTTATTTTGTATTTTCGTATAATTTTGAAATTATTTATAGAAGATTAATGAAGAAATGTATTTCTATATAGAACATACTCTATTGGTATTTAATGTTGAGAAGAAACTAAAAATAAACAGAGCGAAAAAGAAAATATTAGTTTTTTTTACGATTGCATTTTAATGTTGATTATTTCAAGTAATGAAGATAGATATTTTTTATTTCTACTTCATAGTTTACATTCTTGTTAAGATATAAATAGCCAATATTGACATAATCTGTAGCTAAAAGACAACAAAACTTCTCTATCATTGAATCTCTGTTTATTTGCTTGATATCACAAACAGATTGACAAAAAAAATCAGGTTTTATCAAGTCTAAAATGCTGATATTATATACTGAGGGTGTGGGTGTGCAAGCATATAATACCTACACCGACACCCAGACACACCCACACATACTCTAGATTAGGGTTTCACCTTGTACAATATTATATCAAAACATGCCCTAACTCAGTCTCTTTCGATTGGTGAAAACTGCAGATCATTAGCTGTTGCCGTTCTCGAGCTATTCATCTTTCACCAACTCACATTTAATTCTAGCGCCGTCAATAGGTGAATTGCTAATCAAGGCTGTTTTATTGATTGCTCCTTCATAACCAACGGGTTGCATATGTGTAATCAATCTGACGAACTATGAGTATGTTGATGGACGACCACTTGACCTTTGTTTGTCTAAAAAGGATAACTTATCCACCGTGTATAAATAGAACAGTACTTCATTTCAATTGTTTTGTTATAATACACCTAAAATCATCACAAATTGCCTATTGAATTTTTTTACTATTACTAGCATGTAAGATATAGTTGCTAATACATATATGATAATATGAGAGTCAGACAGAGGCGATATAGAACGGATCCTCGCTAAAGAAACTTTTGAGAACAACACAAAGCCAACTAACTTTCTTTTTACT